CGGACATATGGAAGTACTTTAGCAAAACCGAATATGGAATTAAATGTCATTTATGTGAAAAAACTTTCAATGTTCAATGTGCAACTTATACTTTGAGATATCACAAAGAAAAACAGCATCACCTTAGGTCAGAATCTGCTCCAGATTTTGCATGTGCATTCATCATATCTCGGACCAGAAGCCTATTGATTTTGGACAAATTAGGTGGTATAATTAGCGAGTTAATAATTAATTAGTGATGGGACAAAAGGTGTCTCTATGGAGTAAGAGCGCTGTTTTGGCGGATCTCCTAACTTTCGATGGATAAGTCTTCGGTCTCTGACCGATATTCTCGTTGTATTTTTATTCATGTTCTTATCGTATGATAAAAATGCTTATTTTATTAACTACTGGACCAATTGTCTTGAAATTTTAAGTGGCTAAAGATTGTATTTCATACTAGAAGGCTATCACTTTTATTTATTTCAAACATTTCTGTTGGATCTAGAAGATGGGTTTTTTTGTGCGGTGATGTCATCAAAATTGCGCATATCGTGGCTGTTCCGCATTTGCGAGTTGGTGGTCAGGCGAAGTCGTGAAGAGTAGTCTACTGTGACAAATATATTTGATAATCGCTTTCTTGTTATTAACATGTTTCGTGTCATGTTATTTCAGATGCCTTGCTGATATGGTCGCAAGTGCGCTCGTCCACAATGCAGTCTCACCAGTCTACGTCAAGTTCTTATGGTTTGTCTGGGCTTCTGATATGTCTCTCCAAGTCTTCTTGCATATAGAATGGACCTTGTGTGACCCTACCATCGACTCTTGTACTGTCGTAAGTGTTTTTAAAAATGACGAAATAGAAGAGATTCAATTTATGCCAAAAATCACAAAGTTGTGTACCATATCCCATGCACGGCACATTGCAGCAGATAATTTTGACATCTAAAACAACTTCTATTTATATTTTTTGTGTTTTTTAGTTAATTAGTAAGAGCCGGGTATTAGTTCCATGGGGTTTATTGTTAGCAAAGTTTTATTAGAACCAGAAAGTGGATCCAATTACCACATAGGCTACTGATGACACTGTCTGATGGTACAGGCTGACCTGGTTGGCAACCTTCCCTAAAGGGTAGATCAGGGGTTCCCAGACTTAGTATAGGAATAATTGAGTATACGAATTAATCTTTTCATAACGTCTAATGTGACTTATATATTTTATCATCCGATGTTCATAATTTCAAGACATGAGTTCAGCAACTCTTTAGAAAGTCACATTTTCACCCCAAATGAAACTTCGCAGTTCACGTGACTTATTTTGTCCAACCACAGCACGCAAGCCAATTTTGGTGGTAAGATATCTATTTAAAAAAAATTGTTCAAGGGGTACATAATAACATTGAGTTAGGGAAACCATGGTCTAGATAAAAATTTCAGTGACAAAATTGGTTCTTTCCTGTTTACATTCGACAGAGATTATGGGTGCTAAACACAAACCTTATATCTACAGCCTACTCCTGTTCGTCGTCGTAGTGTCTTAAAAGGACGACAGGCAAAAATACACCGCCACACTCGGACCTTACACAATTGGAAAGTAATTCGGTGAGTAGCTGAAGTCCAAATATACAATCGTAATCTGTAATCAATATTTGTCTAAGATAAATAAAGCTTAACTGAAGCCCGGTCGTGCTTTATTTATCTTCGGCATGTATTTACCTGGTGGCAATCATGCACTGTAATCAATATTATCAGAGCTACGGTAATTGTTTCAGATCAATTCGAGGAATTTGGTATTTTTGTCATAAGAGAAAAAAATCGTATTTTCAACTTTTCATTCATTGAAAATACATTTTTATATTTTTATCGCTATTTTCCGTGTATTTTCCATTTTAAAGAAATAGATTAGTTATGAAATTACGTACACATTATATCAGATTCCTGAGGTTCAGTGAACTCCGTTTAATTGTTCCCAAGCTTTTTTCTATCTTGGTAAAAGTCTTGTAGTCCTGCTATCGGTGCTCCCGAAGTATTCGTACCAAGATGGTGCACAACCTGAACATAGCATGTGTGCCAGGTTGGGGTTGGTTCAGATTGTGCGTCATCTTGGTACGAATACTTCCGAAGCGCCCTGGTATCAATATCATGACAAATCCTGGTTGGTAAATTAATTTAAGTCTTCTATTTAATAACGATGTCTTTTTGTTTTCTTTTCCATTGGCTATTTTACTTTTGTATAAACCTATTCTAAACATAATCCTTCATTTTAGTTTCATTGAAAAACGGAATAAACCCAGCATTGAAAGAATATTAACTCGAAAATAATTATTTACTCAAGATGATCAAGTGTATTTGTCTTTTACGAACAGTCTTCGTCACCGTGACAGCAGTCATTCTTTTGTGCTGTTCTTTGAATTCTTTACTAATTTACTTAGTTTCGTGTCTATCTTCAATTAATGCTAATTTGTAAATTTCTCCTAACTTCACTTAGGAGTTTCTAAGTTATTTATTCTAGCTTTACATGACGCTTTTTTAAAATTTATATAATAGTAGATCTATATATATTGATAATAATAAAAAATATTATATTTCGCGTAAAATTGAGCATTCTTTCCTCTTGTGATGGCAAATTAAGTCTCAAGTCTCACAACCGAAATATCAGCCATTTTGTACGCATATGAAACCAAGCTTCAATTGGTATTGAACAAAAAGTGTACTTCTGAGCCACTTTGCCAAGTTCGTGTTGTGTCGCTGTTGAATTGAATTTTCTCTGTGAAATGAGGTGTGGCCATGGAGATGAAGCTCAATATTCCACCCAAAATTTATAGCTATTCCGTCACCACCTGATTTTATTCCAGATCCCTGTGGAAACATTCGACTGGAGTGACTTGTAGTTTTAATATTTCACACACTGTTAAAAATTTTCGTAGTTTAACAAGGAAATGGCAGTAAAAAATACATTTCATTTCCCTCTATTCGTGACGCCGTAAAATATACTGGGAATTCCTGAAAGAACGATGGGATTTCACTGTACGTCATCTCTTTTGCTTTTCTATTGGCTACTGTATTCTTTCGTTTTCAAACAAACCAATCACAGACGCTTATTTTCTCGCGCCAAAACGTATGCGGCAGGCGATAAAGCGACTGACTGTCACGAACCGCGAGTCCGCGATCCGCTATTGACCAAGAAGGCGAGTTCTCCCGTTTTAATTAAAAAGTTGATCAATGTAGGTCCGAGGTTTGAGTTATACTGATGGGTAGGCGATACCAGTATATTACCAAACTATGTGATAGCTATATAATGTCAGAAAGTTAAGATGACTTATAGGCCTTAAATTGTTCATTAACAACTTTTCAGAAATCTTTTCAAACTTCTAGCATGATTGTCAAACATGTCAATTAGATTATTAGAGCATGTTACAATTAGAGTAACCTATAAGAAATCAGATGCTGTTATTGCGGGAGATACTCTATGATGAAAGCATCACAAGGAACACAGACGTGATATCAATACTGTAACAATTTTCCGATTGCTGACATTCAGACAGTGTGGCCCTTCCTATTTGAGAGTGGATTTGTAGATGAACATTTTACCTAAAAGGCAGGGCAAAATGAGTTGCTCAATAACATCGACGACAAATCGATGAATGTCTGCAGGTAAGTGTTAGCCTACCAATAATGCATATTGCACTACTTTATATAGCGCGTCCACTCTGTCTTGACAAAACAAAAAATTTAGAAAAACAAAACAAGCCAATTGCTGTATTAATATAAAATAGATAAAAAAATTTAAAAAAATATCATGGTCAGAGATAATTCAATGAAAATATATATCACCTAATTAGACCATCCGACTCACTGAAAATGAATCATAGTTTTATTCAGCTAATTGCAGACTTAATTGGACGACAAAGCAACGGTATACATATTTGATGTTCTTTAATAACAAAAGCGTGCATTGCAGTGCTCCCAAAGTATATATCATCGAAATCTATGGTTCTGGTGAGCTAAAATGTTCTTTTAGTGCAGTTGCATTCATTATATGCTTTTGTGTGGACTTCTTTATGAGTTTCCTTGAGCCTCAAATTGTCAAGAGTGTGGTTGTGATTAAATGAACAGCATATAAAATAATTTCAAATATTATTATCGTTTCAACAAATAAAGATTTAAATATATTGAAACATTGTGTAGGATATCAGTTCAATTTTGGGAGTGTAGTGTGCACACTTTTTTTTATTTTTGATTCTTAGTCAGTGATTAGTCAGATATCATTTTTCTATTTACGTCACATCCATAAGGTCTAGGAAATGATACTCGACTTTTTTAATTGTTCATTCAGGAAACTTATGTCGACTTAAGTCAGCAATAAGCGTTAGGGATGTAGAATAAACGAACAATGTAACAAAAAGTCGACTCACATCGTGCTCCCTATGGTTTCAACATGTGGATATTCATGTTAGTTTGTTGTATAATTCATGAATATTTTTGCAAACAGATGTTCGAAATTGATAAAGGCGGTTCGTTATATTGTTATTAATAAAAAGAATAAACAGTATTAGAAGGAAGGGATTGAATAATTTTTTTTTAATGTAATTTGTAGAACTTATAATTACATAGAAGAAAATTAAATAGTTAAATCTTTAATTTTTACGTGTTTTACTGTTCTTACATTTGTATGCATATTCAACAGGCAAGAGCATATTATAAACTTTTCATTGGATATATTGATTTCTAAAAATATGTAGTGTACGGTATTTATAACTTTCTGTACAATATACAGAAACGGGATAAACGGGATAAACAAAAACTTTTTCATTCATAGCGATGGCAATTCTAATTTCAAAATATTGTTATGAAAATCACGATTATACTACTAATACTAAAACAATATCATAAGTTATTATGTTCTTTAAATATTTATGAGTTATTTTGTTTTGCTTAGAAATTGAAGATGTTATTAGTGCGATGTTCTTTTCTTTTCTTCCAGGAAAATGTATATAGATTATATATATTTTAACAATATTCGTTAATGGAATATTGATATTAAGTGATGTTTTAAATAAACTTACAAACATCGTATATCAGATTATATATTAAAAATATCTCTTCTATTCAAAGGTAAGCTTATATATAATACATGGAATTGTTAAACGTAGATGATTGTAAACAAATTTCTCTCGCGCTATTTAGTTCCGTAAATTAGTATACGCAATCATTAAATTAATTTATCAATAATGTATTCTATCAAGATTAAGTGCATTTTTAAACGTAAATAAAAACAATAAGTTTGATAAGTGCTACCGCAATATGTAGCCTAACCAGGTGTATTTATCACTAAAAAAAATGTATGGGAATGTGTGATGTCTATGATGGGGTATAATACAGCGATAGACTAAAATGCTAATGGGAGGTACCTCACGCTGAAGTAGCAGCGTTTGATAAATTGTTTAAATATATAATTTAAATTTCAGTTCGTTAACGAAACCGTATGAAGCACAGATATACTCAAGTAAGACATAAGAAGCACGGTAAACTCAAGAAGAAAAGATGCGGAAACCATTGCGAAAAAAAGTAATCGGCGGATATAGAAAGATTTCCGAATATTTACAATTATTATTTACAATTTATCCTTAGTATGCTAATGCGTTCTATTATTTATCACGGTATTAGAAAATGTATTCTCTTGTGATTCCAAATATGTACATTTTTTTGTATAAATCTTGCATGAAAAAGATTAATTGTGAATCAGATTATTTGTTTTATGGGGGCTCCCGAAGTATGCGAACCAAGATGGCGGACATCGGAATGTAATATGTGTACTAGGTTAGGGTTAGGCCATAATTTTAGGTATAAATACTACGGGAGGCTCTTAGCTAGTCTTCGAACTGAAATAGGACTAAAATAAGGAAAATTGGAAAAAAATTATCGCCTAACCCTAACCTGTTACCCATGTTACGTTCCGATGTCCGCCATCTTGGTTCGCATACTTCGGGAGCACCGTTTTATGTCATTCTGAAATAATCTATTGTTAAAGCATTCGTGTTAACTCTAAATTGAAGTTAGAAAATAGTTTGAATAGTTGTAGATTGTTCCGATGTACAAAAAGAGAACAATAGTATATAATATTATTACATTCCTGAAGTATTGTAAGACGAAGTTGAGACTCACAACGATTTAAGAAACAATAAAAATTGTTTTGATCTTTGTGAACAACAAATTATGCCGGAACATTGACTGTAGAAAGACTCGTATAGTTGCTGCCTTAGAAAAAAGATTGACGAAGGTACTTACATTAGAATACCAGATACATTTAGAACTATGCAAACAACAAGCCTAATCGTTAGTGGATATTCGTATTGAATATCTTTTATAATGTATACAAGTTTAAAGTTAAAAGTGCCCACCATTTCCAAGTATTCATTCACGATACGTCATAACTATGAGTGAAGGTTCATTCCAGGCGTGCTTGTATTTCGTAATTAGTTGGCATTTTTTCAGATCGTTCAGTTTTAATATTTTAATACTATTATTTTTTTTTTAGGGGGATTGAAGAGATTCACGTTTTGTGGAATGGTGGATATATTACCTTTGTCAAGACACCGCACGGAATCTGAAGGAGTACACATACAAGTTATAAGTAGCACAGTATTATTACAATTTTAATTGTTGGGAAAGCAAACGCCGATAGATGATTAAGTTGACAGAGATTCTCGAATATCGATTTTTTAATTTATGACGACGAAAAAAAGCATGTTAAATAGAGTAAGAAGAATTTCTACTAGAATTTCAATAATGTTTAAAATCGAATTTTTTGAATTTTGCCTTAAATACAATGCCTGACTAAATTTAGGGCGATAAGCCATTTCGTCGCGTGAACTGTTGTAACGTTTCTCAGAGATAAAGCGCGTTTCTTGGTCATTTCAGGTTTTAGACATGTCTGTAATATTTTGTGTTACAATATATCTAAATATGTGTTCTTTGATGTAGATTTCCGACTGCTACAATAATAAAGATAGAAATGCACCATAAATATATCAGTCTCATTGCTCTATCTGTTTTTGTGTATGAAGATAACATGTAAGATTCAAACATGGACGGTCATTATTTATCGCTAAATGCATGTAGGCTGATTGATATGCATATGTAATGTCGTTGATGAACTATCCAACTTACGAACACATTCCGTTCACAAAAGTACGTGAATTTGAGACGAAATTTCTATGACGATTAGTCATGTTGTTTGCCTATTGTTGAATGCATTTAGATTCAAATGTGAAATTGTTGACTTACCTGATGGGCAAACATATCACGAAAATCAAACGTGAAATGATATACTTATCACTATGTCGGTAGAGTAGTGACGTAATGATGACGTAATGACGAAATTATCAAATGTAAAAAATTTCTAATGGAGCAACTATCCGTTCTCGAAGTGGTAGAGATGGACTTGCATATAAAAGTAAAGGAATTTAAAATGAATCTTCTTTAGAAATAAAGCTTAGTGGTAAATATATTTCAGACTCTAACGTTAATTATTAATAATAACATATTGAACGAAGTCCACAAAGTGGATCTATGTTATTATTATGTTGTTGTTGTTCTTGTTGAAAATTTTCTTGATAACTGCGTTACGGGTAGTGACAGATTTGGTTACTGTGACAGATTGCATATCTGTAGTACTTCGTTCTAGTCTTCGTGCCCATATATTTGAGCATCACTCTCTTGGTGTTATTGGACACGAAATTGACCTATAGATCGTCTCAATATTCAGCTGTTGGTAGTAGATTTTTTTTTTTTTGATGGAAGAGACCTCCAACCTGACCCGAATGCAAAGCTTACAAAGTCATGAACAACTATTTTTGCAGAATATTATTTTATTCCATATTCAGCAAATTATGAACAAATTCATTATCTTCGATTGCATTGATTCATCTCTGTGCAAACGCTGAGTGGCTTATGATGTTATGATATTTGCTCAATCTTTTTCTCATCTTAGCATTTAGCTTACGGATCTAATACGAAAAATTAAAAAAGAGAAAAAAAAACGTGATCAATTTAAATTTTATGTCGCTCAAACAAAAATGAATAAATTAAACATACTGTAATTGGGGCAGAAATTATTACCAACAATCTGTGAAGACCATATTTTGGACAGGATGCAAAATTAGCGATGGATAAATTTCAGTTATATCTGATTGGTAATATTGTGAATATGAAATAAATCGACTTTTAATTTAAATAAGAGTAAAATGTTTAGTAACTGAATATTTGCCAAACAAATGCCCATTTGGTATATTCATACAAAAGTGTTTTGTTGTATTATATTTTGTATAAAATTGTTTTGCCAACAACACTGTCCTCGTCATTTGTGTAAAGACAAATTAGAAATTTGTTGTAACTGAGTGATTCACAGCAGTATGGAGGACAAAAATAGATCATGCTGAAATATAGGTGGTCAGATGATACCGTAGTATTCGTTCAAGGGCATTATCCTTTAGGATACTTCATTTTAGTTTGCATTACCTAATCACCACATTGGTACGAATACTTCTGGAGCGCCGGTGATCGTTAGTTCAAGATATATCTGATTGGTATTATGCTGAGTATGCAATAACTGAATCTTTAATTTAAATATGAGTATAATGTTCAAGAACATCCTAATTTCAGATTAAATCATTATTCTTTGTTGTATGATATTTTACAATTTAGGCCACGAAAACTGGGAAAATATTGAAAAATTCAATGCAAGACCGATCGAAGTGAACTTCCAATGTGATAATTTGGCATGTGGCTCCCCACACATGAGTGTTTTTGTCAAAACAATGCATCTTTGATTCGATTCGAACTTCGAGTAGGGTGTTGATTTGACAAAAACAAACAGACTGAATACGAACTTGACTTTGAAAGATTCCTCCAAAATACAAAATAAAAAGTGAGAGATAACAATAAACAGTTGGTAGTTTGGTCTAGAACAAATTATTTTGCAAATAAGTGGTATGCTATGGATACTTAGTATGGATTTCATATGAATTTTGAATGTCTGGACCGGCTAAACGACAATGTCAATTATAGAAATTAAATTCTAGTTGCACACTATTAAACATTTACCTTGTACACACTTTCCCGAATCGCAATATTGGTCAGAAGCACATTCCTCGTCTGTCTCGCATTCTGTGTAAATTAGAAATTTACCATAACTAAAACATTCACAGTAATCTAGTACGATGAATATCTATCACGACGAAAATCTGGTGATCGATGGTATCAGTTATATTCCATTGGTATTATACCGAGTATGCAATTATTGGATCTCGAAATAGACGGGAGTATTATGTTCAGTGACTTCCTATTTCCAGACAAATACTTTTTTGTTGTGAGATATGATAAGTTTAAGCAACAGCGCCCACAAATAAATTTGAAATTTTCCTAGAAGACTGAACGTAATAAAGTAGTCAAATATGACTATTTACATGTGATTCTTCACACATGGGTGAATTTAGACAAGAAAATACAGTTTCGAACCTTAGTTCGGGTTTGATGTTGATTTGAAAAAATTGCCTGAATCCGGGCTTATGTTTAAAACATGGTTCCGAAACACAGAACAAAATTTGAGAAATAAAAGTGAACTCATTGCTAGTTGAGTGCATGGACCAATTGTATTGCATTAAAGTTTAAAGTGATAGGGAATGGACTCGAAATCACTTTTGATTCGAGGGCCTCTGATAATAGAAGAACTTGACAAATTTTTTGCATAATATCAAATTTTACCTCTATTTAGACACTTTTTCGAATTTTGATCGCAATATTGGTAAAAGGGACAGTATTCATAGTCATCATCACAGCCTGTGCAAAAGACATATTATAATAATTACTGTAACTTAGACATTCACAATATTGTGGTAAGGTAAATATCAGTCTTTCAGAAAAGTTCGTATTCGATATATACAATTATTAGACATTTAATTTAATTGTGATTATATTGTGTAGTAACTTCAGATGTTCAGACAAATGCCACAATTCGGGGTTTACACGTGGTTCGTCACACATGATTGATTTCTGGCAAGAAAATACAATTTCAACTCTGAGTTCGGCTACAATGTTAAATTTCATAAAAATAGACGAAATCTGTGCTCGTGTTTGAAAGATTCCTCCGAAACACAGAATAAAAATTGAGAGACAACAATAAACATGTTGGTGTTTGACTCAATGAAACAATTCTTTGTAAAAACAGTGATTTGCATGATGCTTTGGATATTTTCCATGTTATCTTAAATGGATTTTGATTGTTGCAAAATACAGAACAACAATTGAGAGACAACATCTAACCTATTGGTAGTTGAGTTTATGTACCAATTCTCTTGCACATATATGATCGACAAACTACTACACATACGGTGGACTCGAAATGGCGTTTGTTTGTTTGGACCAGCTAAAGGACGATGATAATTGTAGAAATTAGAAGTATTGTTGTATAATAATAGAAATTTACTTTTTACTTGGCACTTCCCCAAATTTAAATCACATTCTTCGGACGATGTATCACAGTCTTCGTGTCCTTTGCACACTGTTTAGAAAATAAAATAAATATATTGTAACTGAGGCATTTCTCACAGTTTGTTGAGATATATAGTGGTCATGCAGTTATATCTGGTTGATATTATACTCTATATGCGATTACTGGATGTTCAACTAAAATGGGAGTCTAATATTTAGTAACTTCCTAATTTTAGAAAAATGCCTCACTCTTGTTTATGTATGATGTTGCATGTTTATACAATTGAGGTCACAACAACTCGAGATCAACATTAAAATTGAATGCAACAGGGATCGACTTCAATTTGTCAAATTCAAGTCTGGCACGGGGTTTGTGACACATGATTGATTTTTGGCAAGAAATTACAGTTTACAGAAGTGTATTTGTGAAATGCGAGTCTGTCACGTGGTTCGTCACACATTAGTGATTTCTGGCAAGAAAATACAGTTTCGACTCTTGAGTTCGAGAAGTTGCGTGAACACGAGCTTGACTTAAAATATTTTAGTAGTTGAGATTATGAACGAATTTTGTCACGTAAAAATGATCTACATGATTTTGTATATACCTTCTTCAGACTTTAAATGGCTTTTGATTATTCGACTGGAGGTGGACCGACGGCGGAGGTTGAAATTGAGTTAAAGTTATTGCTAATAAGAAAAATTTACCTTTATCCTGACACGTCCATGAACTCGTATTGCAAAATCGGGCATTATCACAGGTATATTTTCCTTCGCATTCTGTATGACAAAACAAGTTATAAATATAACGTAAATATACAGAGTCATTCTCAATAATCGTATAAGATAAATATCGGTCATGCAGAATTATTAGTGATCGATAATGTCAGTTATATCAAAACTGTATTTTTCTAACTATGTAAATATAGTATATTTCATTCAATGGGTGTATAATGTTTAACTTCCTATTTTCAGAAAAATGCTTTTTTGGTTGCATGATATATTGCAATTTACATCACAACAACTTGATAACAAATTTGATATTTCCCAGAAAGTACGAACGGAGTGAATTCATCAAATACGACAGTTTCACTCGCGGTAAATAGGCTTTATTTGAACTTGAGTTTCCAAACTTCCTCCAAAATACAAAAAAAAAACTTGAGATCGAGAAGTTCAACTGATTGCTAGTTAAGTTTATGAACCAATTCTGCTGCATATTAGGGATCAGCATGTTGCTATAAATATTGACGATGGTCTCGAAATGTCTTTTCATTGTTGTTGAAATTACAGTTTCGAATTTCAATGTTAAATTTGAACAAATTCGTAAACCCATGCTTAACTTTGAAATATGCCACCAAATCACAATAAAAATTGAGAAGACAACAGTAAACTTGTTGGGTTTGAATTTTTGAACCAATTCTTTTGCAGAAAGAAATTTGTATGATGCTATGGATAATTGCTATTGACTTTAAATGTTTTTTGATTATTTGGACCGGAGAAGGATCGACGTCGAAGCTTGAAATTGAAAATTTTGGTGCAAAATAGCAAAATTCACCTTTATTCTGACACGTCCACAAGGTTGTATTGCAATATTTTCCATCATTACATTTATCGTCTTCCTCGCACTCTGCGTATAATACAAATAGGAACGATAACGTGTCTATGCAGAGTCATTCTCAACAATCATGTAAAAAAATTATCGGCCATGCAGAATAATTGGTGATCGATAAGGTCAGTTCTATCACAATTGTATTTTTCCAACTATGAAAATATAGGATCTTTCCCTCAATGGTTGTATAATGTTTAAATTCCTATTTTTGTAGAAATGCTATTTTTGTTGTTTGAAATATTGCAATTTATGTCACGACAACTTGAGAACATATTTGATATTTCCCAGAAAGTCCGAACGAAATGAATTTGTCATATACGACAGTTTGACTCGCGGTAAATAGGCTATATTCGAACTTGAGTTTGCAAACTTCCTCCAAAATACATAAAAAAAAATTTGAGAACGAGAAGTTCAACTCCTTGCTAGTTGAGTATATGAACCAATTCTGCTGCATATTAGTGATCAGCATGCTGCTATAAATATAGGCCATGGTCTCGAAATGACTTTTCATTGTTGTTGAAACTACAGTTTCGAATTTCGATGTTGAATTTGAAAAAATTTGGAAATTCATGCTTAACTTTTAAATATGCCACCAAATCACAATAAAAATTGAGAAGACAACAATAAACTTGTTGGTTGTTGAATTTTTCAACCAATTCTTTTGTCAAAGAGAATTGTATGCTGATATGGATAATTGTTATTGACTTTAAATGTTTTTTGATTATTTGGACCGGAGAAGGATCGACGTCGAAGGTTGTAATTGAAAATTTTGGTGCAAAATAGAAAAATTCACCTTTATCCTGACACGCCCACAAGGTTGTATTGCAATATTTTCCATCATTACATTTAACGTCTTCTTCGCACTCTGCGTATAATACAAATAGGAAGGATAACGTGTCTATGCAGAGTCATTCTCAACAATCATGTAAAAAAAATATCGGTCATGCAGAATAATTGGTGATCGATAAGGTCAGTTCTATCACAATTGTATTTTTCCAACTATGAAAATATAGGATCTTTCCCTCAATGGTTGTATAATGTTTAAATTCCTATTTTTGAAGAAATGCTATTTTGGTTGTTTGAAATATTGCAATTTATGTCACGACAACTTGAGAACATATTTGATATTTCTCAGAAAGACCGAACGAAGTGAATTTATCAAATACGACAGTTTGACTCGCGGTAAATAGGATATATTCGAGATGAGTTTGCAAACTTCCTCCAAAATACAAAACAAAACTTGAGAACCAAAAGTTGAACTCGTTAGTAGTTGAGTTAATGAACCAATTAACCAATTAAAGTGATCCGCATGCTATTATGGATGTATGTGATGAAATCGAAATGGGGTATGTTTGGTTGTTTGGACCGACTGAGGGCCGATGGTTATTGTAGGAATTGAAATTTTGCATAATATCAGAAATTCACAACAATCATGTAAGATAATTATCGGTCATGCAGACATATTGGGGATTGATAGTGTCAGTTATATCGGAATTGTATTTTTCAGAATAGGGAAATCATATTTGATTGATATTGCGCTGAATATGGCCATTACTCGATCATGAATTCAAATTGAAGTTTAATATTTCATAACTCTGAAAATACTTCTTTTTCTTTTATAATATGATACAATTTAGTTCATGACAACTCGAGAACAAATTTGAAAATTCACTGAAGTGTATTTATGAAATGCATGTCTATTAACATAGGCCATGGTCTCGAAATGACTTTTAATTGTTTTTGTAATTAGAGTTTCGAATTTCAGTGTTGAGTTAGAAAAAATTCGTGAATCCATGCTTAATTTTGAAATATGCCTCCACAACACAATAAAATTGTAAGAGACAACAGTAAACTTGTTGGTTGTTGAATTTTTGAACCAATTCTTTTGCCAAAGAGATTTGTATGCTGTTATGGATAATTGCCATAGACTTTAAATGTTTTTTGATTATTTGGACCGAGGAAGAGCCGACGTAGAAGGTTGAAATTAAAAATTTAGTTGCAAAATATTAAAAATTCACCTTTATCCCGACACGTCCACAAGGATGTATTGCAATATTCGCCATCATCACATTCATCGTCTTCTCCGCACTCTGTGTGACAAAACAAGTTCGAAATATAACGTGTCTATACAGGGACATTCTTAAGAATCATGTAAGATAAATATTGGTCATGCGGAATTATTGGTGATCGATAATGTAAGTTATATCACAATTGTATTTTTCTAACTATGAAAATATAGTATCTTCCATTTATTGGGTGTATAATATTTAACTTCCTATTTTCAGAAAAAGGCCTTTTTTGGTTGTATGATATATCGCAATTTACGTCGCAACATGTGAATACGACAGTTTGATTCGCGGTTTGTCATATTTGAATAATTTATGACATAATAATATAAAGTTTTGTCCCAGAGTTCGGGCTGGGTGTTGATTTTGAAAAAATGGACCGATATGTGCCTGAGTTTGAGAAAAACAGAACAAAAGTTGGGAGACATTAAGAAACTTGTTGGGAGTTGACTTTATGAACCAATTCTGATGCATGTTCCGTGATCCGCATGCTGCTATGGATATACTTCCTATGGACCAAAAGGCCTTTGATTGTTCCGACCGTTGAACGTCCGACAGTAAATGTAGAAATTGAAATCTTTATTTCATAACATTAGTATTCACCTTTAATCTCACACGTCCACAAAATCAAATCGCAAAATTCGTCAGGATAACAGTCATCGTCATTTTCGCATTCTGCGTAAAATACAAAATAGAATTACACTTTGACTGTATTATGCTGAATATGAAATTATTAGGATATTTTATTCAAAGAGGAATAAAACATTTAATAACATTTTATTTTCAGAGAAATGCTTTCTTATTGTATGATCTGGGTAATTTGGTGACCGTACATTTGAATCCACGTACATTTGAACCCATGTGTATATCCGGGGGTTCAATCTATATTCGGGTGCTAAAACCCATGGGTTAGGGTTAGTATGGGTTCAAATATCCGTAAAACAATTTTTTTTCTATAAGTGCACTAGTATGCAGGTGCAATTGTCGTGGGTTCAGATGTACACGGGTTCAAATGTAATGGAACCGGTTAATCTTGGTCACGACAACCCAAAAGCAATTTCAAAATTTCCGGGAAAAAAGCGAAGTAAAATTGTCAAATTCGACTCTGAGTTCGGGTTGAGGGTTAAATAAATATGTTTAATCAAAACTTGAGCTTGCAAGCTGCCTCCAATATTCAGAAACAAACTTGAGAGACAACAGTTTACTGATTGGTAGTTGAGTTGATTGAACCAATTGTGTTAAGTAAAAGTTATCCTTATGTCATTATGGATATATGCGATGAATTCGAAATGATGTTTGGTTGATTGGACCGACTAGGGGTCGATGCTGGTTACAATAGAATTAAAATTTTTTTGAATAATATCAGAAATATACCTTTATCTTGGCACGTCCTCAAATTTTTATCGCAATATTCGAAAATGCCACAGTCCTCGTCTTCACCACAGCCTGTGTAAAAGACAAATTAGAAAGTTACTGCAATTGAGACATTCCCAACATTCTGATTGGACAGATAGCGACCATGCCAAAATAAAATGGGGACCGATATTTTCAATTGGTGACCGTACATTTGAACCCATTTACATTTGAACCCATGTGTATATCCGCGGGTTCAATCAATATGCGGGTGCTAAAACCCATGGGTTAGGTTAGTATGGGTACAAATATCCGTAAAACCAAAAAATTTCCATAGGTGCAATGGCATGCAGGTGCAATTGTCGTGGGTTCAAATGTACGTGGGTTCAAATGTAATGGAACCTTTTCAATTATATATGATTGGTTTAATGCTGAATAATCAATTATTGTATATCTTTCAAATAAATGTGAGTATATACTTCTCGCTTTCAGACAAATGTTCTTTTGTTGCTTGATATGACACATGTCTATGACAACTAGACAACAATTACTATTTCATTGAGAGGCCGATGAGAGTGAAATTGTACAGTACGTGTTCCGTCAATCGTCACATATGTGTAATTTCTGACAGTAAATACAGTTTCGACTCTAAATGTGGGTTTGCTTTTTAATTTAAAAAATAGCCCGGATACTGACATGACATGTTTTGAGATTACTAAGTTTTGTTGCATGATATTAGGCATTTACCTTTCGCACAAATACCCGAATCTACATTGCAAATTTCGCCTATAACACAGTCATTGTCTTGACGGCAGCCTGTGTGAATACAAATTAAAAATGCTGTAACTGGGTCATTCATAAAATTCATGTAAGACAAAAATTGATCATACAGAAAAATTGTTGATCGAGAGTTTCAGTTCTATTTGATTTGTAATTTCCTGATCAGACAATTATTGTATCTTGATTCAATCCAGGCCACGACTATTGAAGAACAAATTTCAAAATTTACTACTTCGTCTATCGAAGAGAATTTCAATAAGACAATTTAATACGTGGTTCTTCACATATGAGTGATTTCTAGAAGGAAAATCAATTTGCAACTCTGATTTCGGGTTGAAAACATACAGCAAAAATTGAGAGACAATAGTAAAGTCGTTGGCAGTTGAGTTTATGAACCTATTCTGTTGCATGGAAGTGATCTGCTCGTTTCTATGGATATATATATGAGGTTTAAATGGTGTTTAATGTTTTGGACAAGTTGAGGATTGACGGTAAGTGTAGAAATTGGATGTTTTGTTACACTATATTACAAATTTAATTTATTTTGACACGTCTTGGCACATTGATTACAATATTGAAAATAATAGAAAATTATAAATACTTTTAACTGAGACATTCGCATCAATCTGGTAAGAAATTAACCGCCAGGCAGAAAAATTCATAATCGATAGTTACAGTTATATCTGACTCCAGTTTTGTCTGATTGGTATTATGCTGAGTATACAATTACTGGATCTTTAATTTAAATGTGGATTTGAATGTTTAGGAAAATACTACTTCCAGATTAATTCAATTTTTTATTGTAATGTATTATACAATTCAGGTAACGACAACTGGTAATGCATGACCAAACGAGTGAAGTTGTCTAATGCGATAATTTGGCACGTGGTTCGTCACTTATGAGTGTTCTTGGCAAGAGAATGCACTTTCGGCCAGAACTTCGGGCTGGGTGTTAAATTTGATGAAAACAGATTTAATACGAACGTGTCTATGGAAGATTCCTGGTAAGTAAACAATAAAATTTGAGAGACAACAATAAACAGTTGGTAGTTGAGCCTAGAACCAGTTTTTTCGCAAAAAGTGGTTTGCTATGGATTTTGATTGTTTGGACCGGCTGAGGGCAAACGGTAATCTTAGAAATTTAAGGGCTAATTGCACAATATCAAAAATCTACCTGATTTACAATGTCCCGAATCGCAATAATGGCCAGAAGCACAGTTATCGTTTGTCTCGCATCCTGTGTGAAAAACAAATTAGTAATTTTCTAAGAGATTCACAGTAATCTTGTACGTTAAATATTGATCACGCCTAAAATTTGGTGATCGATGGTTTCATTCATATTCCATTGGTATTATGCCGAGTATGCAATTGTGGGATTACGAATTAAACAGGAGTATTATGCTTAGTAATTTCCTATTTCTAGACAAATGATTTTTTTTGTGAGATAGGATAGGATTAAAATAACAGCAACCAGAGAATACATCTGAAAATTTCCACAAATAATGAACGAAATAAGTTGTTAAATATTACAGTTTCCGTCGTGATTCTTCACACATGAGTGGTTTTTGACGAGGAAAAGACAGTTTCGAATCCGAGTTCGAGTTTCGTGTTGAATTTGAAAAAAATGCCTGAATCCAGACTTATGTTTGAAAGATGTTTACGAAACACGAAACATATTTTGAGAGACAACAGTGAACTCATTGCTAGTTGAGTGTTTGAATCAATTGTGTTGCAATAACGTGATTTACATGCTGACATAAATATAGGCAATCGAAATAACTTTCGATTCAAGGAACAATGGTTATAGTAGAACTTGAAAGATTTGTTGCATAATAATATAAATTTACCTTCATCTAGGAGACACTGTCTCGAATTTTGATCGCAATATTGGGAACCAAGACAGTCGCTGTTGACATCACACACTGTGTGAATGAAAAATTAAAATTGTAACTTAGACATTCACAACAGTCTGTGAGGATGAATATCGGTCATTCAGATAAATTGATGATGGATAGTTTCAGCTATATCTGAGTGAAATTGAACTGAATATGCAATTATTGGATCTTTAATTCAACTGCGAGTATAATTTTTAGTAACTTCCGTTGTTCAGACATATGTTACAAATGTTACAGGTCACAAAAAAATCTGAAACAAAATGAAAATTTCTGCATAAGCGATCGAACTAAAGTTGTCAAACGCGTGTTTGGCACGTTCTTCGTCGACGTGATTGATTTCTAGCAAGAAAACGCAGTTTCGAATCCGAGTTGGGATAGGTGGTAAATGTATAAGCTAAGTCAGGGCTCGTGTTTGAAGGATTCCTATGAAACACAGAATAAAAGTTAAGAGACAACAATAAATATGTTGGTAGTTGAGTTCATGAAACAATTTCTTTGCAAAAAAGTGGTTTGCATGATGCAATGAATACTTGCTATGAACTCTAAAATGATTCATATTGCTCCGAAACACAGAGCAATGACAGACAACAGTTAACCTGTGGGGAGTCAAGTTTATAAATCAATTCTCTTGCATACGAGTGCCTGCCATGCTGCCTTACATGCGAATGGATTCAAAATGAAATTTGTTTGTTTAGAAATAGAAAGTTCTGTTACATAATAATAAAAATTTACTTATTTCTCGGCATTTCTTCAAACTTTTATCACACACTTCGAGGAATGAATCACAGTCTGCGTTTCCAGCACAGCCTGTGTAAAGACAAATTATAATATATTGAAACTGAGAAATTGGCAACAGTTGGTGGTAAGATATATAGTGGTCATGCAGTTACGTCTGTTTGATATTATACTAAATATGCGATTACTTAATGTTTAAATAAACATGTCCTAAAAGCACAATAAATTTCGAGAGACAATACCAAACTAGTTAGTAGGTGAATTTTAGAACAAATTCCTTTGCAAAAAATTTGATTTGCATGCTGATATGCATACTTGCTATGAAGTGTTGAAGAGTTTTGATTGTTTGGACCGGAGAAGGGCCAAAGTTAAATGTAGAAATTGAAAGTTATTTTAGCATAATATTAGTTATTCACCTTTATCCTGACACGCCCATGCACTCGTATTGCAAAATCGGGCAATATCACAGTCATAGTCTTCTTCGCATTCTGTGTGACAAAACAAATTATAAATATAACGTGTATATACATTCACAACAATCATGTAAGATAAATATCGGTTTAGCAGACATATTGGTGATTGATAGTGTACGTTATATCGGAATTATATTTTTATGAGCAATAAAATTATATTTGGTTGTAATTGTACTGAAAATCGCAACTGCTCATTCATGAATTCAAATCAAAGTTTATTGCTCAATAACTCGGACAAATGTTTTCTGTTTAATAATGTGATACAATTTAGTTGACAACAACTCGAGGAAAAATTCGTCGCAAGACCGGTCAGAGTGTATTTGTGAAATGCCAGTCTGACAGGTGGTTCGTCACCCAGGAGTGATTTTGACTTCGACAACAAAATACGGTTTCGACGACTCAGAGAACGGGTTTGATGTTGAATTTCAAAAAACTGGTGGAAACCGATCTTGACATGAAAAATGCCTTCACAATACAGAAGTAATGTTGAGAGAGAGAATAAATTTTGTTTGTAGTTGAGATTATGAACTAAATCTGTTGCATAAAAATGATCACTATGCTTTTATAGATACTTCCTTTGGACTTGATTGTTGGGATAGAATAGTAGGTGATGGTGAAGGAAAAAATTGAAACTTTTTTTGCATAGTATGAAAATAGTACCTTTATCCTGACACGCCCACGAAGTTGTGTTGCAAAATTGGCCATAAACACAGTCTTCTTCATTTTCGCACCCTGCGTAGAATAGAATTTAAAAATATAACGTTACTATTCAGAGTCATTCACTTCCATATGGTGCGACAAATATGCAGTCTTGCAAACTTGCAAGTTGCAGTTGAACTAAAATGTCAATTATATCGGAATTGTATTTTGTTGGAAATGAAAATATAGGATATTTTATTTAAACGCGTGTATAAAATATTCAACAACTTCCTATATCCAGAGAAATATTGAAGTTATATTTGATTATAATTGTGCTGAATTTGGCAATTACTTGAACATGAATTCAAATTGAATTTTAATGCTTAATAACTCAGACAAATGTTTTCTGTTCAATAATTTGATACAATTTAGTTAACGACAACTCGGGAACAAATTTAAAAGTCGATGCAAGACCGATGGAAGTGTATTTTAAGAAAGTCGAGTCTGACACGTAGTTTGTCACCCATGAGTAATTTTGGCAACAAAACAGTTTTGTCACAGATTTGGTTTTGAATTTGAAAATATTGCCTGGATCCGAACTTTGAATTCAAAATACTTTCAAAACATGGAACAGAAGAAGAGAGATAATAATAACCACCATGCTATTATGAATTCTTTCTATGGACTTGATTGTTGGGACCGGGTAAGTGTTGACGTAAACGTAAAAAAAGTGAAAGTTTAGTTGCATATTATGAAAAATCTACATTTAAATTGACATGCCCACGAGCTTGTGCGTAGATTACAAATTAGAAATATAAAGTAAATATACAAGTCATTAATCACAATCTGGTAATATAAATATCGGTCAAGCAGACTTATTGGTGATCGATAGTGTCAGTTATATCAATCTTGTATTTTGCTGGATATAAATTCATAGGATATAACTTATAGGAGAAGGTATAACATAATGATAAATAACTTTCTATTTTCAAAAAATGCGAACTTTGAGAGTAAATTGACTTTTTCAATCACTCCCATAAAGTGAAGTCTATCCATGGATTCATGTGGAACTTCAAAAAATCGTCATATATTTCGTGGATAAACTTGGTGAATAGATTTCTGCTTACTTTTTCCTTGTGTGTGATCGAGTAACATAGATATTACAATAGCCGGTAGCAAAACATATAGAAGAAATTTCTGCATTTTGTTCTAGAACTGTCAAGTGTCCAGGTGACTTTTCTTTAGATTAGATGAAATTAAACTGAATAGAAATTAAAAATTAAAATAAATTTTTTTGAAATACTCAATAAAATAGGTCTTAGAGTACTAATTTCTGTTCTAATTTTCAATTATCTACCCCTTACCGTCAGAGCAAACTGATGTTTCGTGCTGGACGTCTTGAGCGTATATAACCTTCGCTACTTGTTTATTTATTATATAACATAAACTTTCCGAGTAAAAAGGAAACGGCTAGTTAGCGAAAACAATTGGCGGGAAAATAGTAATTCGCAGAACGATTTCCACAAATATCGCTAAATACTTCACGAATACGTTATATATCGGCGTTGTTTGTTAATAATTGAAAATGGTTTAGAAAACTTTAGCTAGCTAAAAACAATGGTTGTGAAATTTTTGAAAGGTAATAATTTACACAACTATTACGTTGAATTTATTTAGTTATCGTTTGAAAAATTTATATAGTCGAGATGAAAGACCAAAATATTGTGACAAAATTTAATGATGAAAAATGTTTAAATCAGATATGGACAATAGATTAATCAGGCAGAAATTTACCTTACTGTGTATTACTTTTATTGTGCTTCTAAAACCCGTTAGCTTGCAAATTTCTATTTTTCGGAATGAGAAAATGTTTTGCATAAACAGCTTCAAATTACGATTGTTTTGGCAAATAAATTAATAATCAGAATAATTTTTTTTAGAAAAGTCTTTGTTTTAGTGAACTTGTCGTTTCTGTTTTCTGGAAAGCATTCGATGTTTTGCAAAAAAATCTATTCAGAGCTAGAATGCCGTGCGATGGTAACATGGCCATCTCTATATTTTGTTACATGATTTCAATCCGCTGTTTCGACTTTATAAATGTAACTTAAAATGGCACTCACACTTTTCCGGGTCACTGCAAACACTTTTATAATTGAAAATCATTTTATCCATATTCTACGCCTCTACGGTATTTCTTTCGATACTACTATTAATTTTAAAAGACAAATCTCAAATGTCTAAATATCACCATTGCACGACATTTTTTATATGAATATGAATAGGAACTATATGAAAGCCGTTGACCTCTAAATTTGAAAATTAGTCGCTGATTTATCTTCAAATTTGTGGTATTGATGCTCAGTATATCAGATATTCCGAATATAGTTTAATTATCGAGTTATTGTGGACGTATGTGTCGGAAACTTTATTTGTAATTCTAGTAAGATTTTACTGTTGTTTTTCAAATTAATAATATTAAAACGAACTCAAACCAGTTTATTTAGAATTATAAACCGGCATAACTTCGATTTTTCATTGATCTTAAACTGAGTTTAATAGCCCCAGGCCATCTCGGCCATCTCCTGTGTAACGGAGATAAAAATATATTAAAGCTATATAGACATGTAGTGATGACTTGAGGCTATTTAACTCAATCATGTCCAGGGAAAAAACAAGGTATGGCGGTTTATAATTTAGAGAAAGTATTAATTAACTGGTTCGACTTCGTTTTAATATTATTAACTTGAAAACAACAATAAAAGCTTACTAAAAAAATAAAATGATCCCTCTAAAACAGTGGTTCCCAACCGGTGGGAAATTTTCCACTAGTGGGAAATTTGGAGGTTGCAGGTGGGAAATTTAATGCTTCTCTAAAAATGTACGCACAACAACACAATTATGAAATATTACACAGTAAAAATCACAACATATGCAATGAAACGGAAAAAGATTCCCATTCAATTAATCAAAACCCCTAGTAAAATATCACGTTGTTGGGCATGATATTCTGATCTGATATTTTGATCTTTGGTCGGCCGATAACAACCTCACAGGCATGTCTCGAACGAGCACCAATGCTTTGAACATTACGCAAGAAGATTTTCGTTGCAGAGGCGCAAAAGAGAACAGTTTTTATTCAAATGTCTCAGAAGTATTGGGTAGGCACGCGCTCTGATGAACAAATATTTGACCCGTCCCTCCATTCTGCTAAATTGTTAATGAAAGGTAATGGCTTATGTAAAAATAAAGTACGATCATAGTCATCTCGGCTACGTTTCATGTTTTTAACGAAAATATTTGAGCCACTGCCGCAATGCGTTTTTATGCACCAAGGCCATCTCCAATGGTTCTATGTAACCCCATGGAATGAGGCAACATATTTCAAATATTCATTTGCTTATCAGTTTGCTAAAAAAATTGCAAAATAAAAGCAGGATAGGATTCGACAACATGGGCAATTTCAAATGAGTTCAAAGGTGATATTGACTGCGTCATTTGTAGATGTCCTGCGAATACCAAGAACCAAAAGTTCCATAACATCGGTGGGACATAAATGAAACTTTGTCTCGTGGAGTGTGATGATATTCTGCCGAGTATATCTGCGGCGCCAAAAAGGAACGGATATCCTTGTCCAATAGCAATGCGCATTTTCAAAAATAGATTCAGACTTCAGGTCTACTATATAAAAAAAACAGCAGAATCGATATGGACGGTGTAATGTAATGTGAAGTTTGATGCGTTTTTTGTAATTTTAAGCGTTGAATTGTTCTACTCGATGGATAACACTGATTTTCATTACACGGATCGTCACTGTCTTGGGATGCTAGACGGCGGAAGGAATATTTTCAAGTGGTTTTCAACGTCTACACCATTTGCAAGCCTTTATTATAGAAAATCATACCAATTATTATTGACAGGAAAATTAGTCTTTTTAAACAAGTTCATATGTAATGGGAAATACCAACTCAGCCTATTCGGAAGTGGGAAATTGAGATAAAAAGGTTGGGAACCCCTGTTCTAAAGCCATTATACTTATATCTCCTTTCAGCTGCTTCAAATTTCAATCACTGGACAGATATCTCTACACGCGGACCAGAATTACATATTTGGTGAAATATGACGAGAATCAACTAATCAATTAAAAAAAAAAACATAGTATAATAGTTACAGAATGATAGATCGCGAGGACATTTCATTGGAAGGTTATTTGAACGAGGCATAATGTCATTATAACGACATAGATTAGATTTAAGTTCATGCCTAACATGTGAGTGATTTGTGAGTGACAATTCTGAATGCAATTACGCAAATTACCGGTATTGAATAAAAAAATTTCAACATCGTTTTCCTACGTGACATTCAAAATCATTGAAATGGGTTTATATTGAAATTTTTATCCAAAATAACTATAAAACGCCATTTAAAGAGATCTTTATGTTAAGTTATATTATAATTGTAATAACCTCCACGAAACCTGAAACAATGACTCAACTTCCTGAAATATTTCAAATATTATTATCAGGTATTCTTAGGCACGAATGCTTATGTGCTGTTTAAAATAAGTTTCGAAAATCTGTTTTATTTGGTGCAAGCGATAACCCCCTTAGAATTTGTAGTAAATAAGTTTTTTTAGGAAATATAAAGATATTGTTAGTATCACTTCAAAATCAAAACATTTCTTTTCAGGCGCCTCTCGAACCTTCTCAGATGGTTTTTATAATCAAAATTTAGTTAATGCATAACGATAAAGCTTGAACTGGAGAACGGCGTCTGCCTTTTTCCACATCATGTTTAATTGCAGACATAGCAGGTTTTGGTTTACGAGGGTCGATGTATTTTTTATGTGGTGCACGTTGGTTAACATTTTTGTTTATCAATTGGTCTGGAAATTCTGTTTCCTTTTTCATATTTTATTTTATATGTTCCTCCCTGGTGTCGTAACGTCCTACCTCAAAATGGCTTAATTTGCTGAAACAATACTGCAACAAGGGAAAGTGATTTGCAAAATGAGAATTGTCGCGAGCACAGTTTAAATAGATATATCCAAAAAGTAAATAAAAAATTATAATAAAGGTATGTATGTAGTTTGTTAAAACAATGAAACAACTTTTTTAGTGGGACAATTCAATTGCGCAGCTGGAGTCAAGGCAATTCAGCAGCAACTCAGTCTATTGCTCAATCTTTCCGCATTACCATGATGTAACTTTCAATAGAATTGTTGGATAACAATATTTATATTTGTATTTTATTATTATCAAGTAGAAAGTTCAAATATATGAGGAAGGCGAGGTTTTTGTGCTGTATTTACTAAAAACTAGCAATCTTGCGTTTTTGTTTTTGTGTTCACTTGCTTATTATAGATATGCAGATTGTAAGTGAATAGATACTTCTTTTAGATTGAGCGTCAAAGTCGCAAAACCTTATTCAAATAAACCTTGCTCCTCATGGCACATTATGTTTCCTATCAACTTCACACCACAATATGTCAGGTTTGGGTACTGGTTTGAAGAACATTTGCAATGCATAGCCTGCGTATACCAAACAAAATTACCTTTTAACCTAGTTTTCTTGTTAGCTTTTAACAGGTACAAAATTACCTTAATTGTATGTGAATTTTGATTTGGTGAAAATGGGGTGTTTCCCGTAAATTGGGTGTTTGTGATAAAAAAAACAGCGTTAAACTTTGAGTATAAAATAGTCTGGTGCTATTTTTTATTATTTTTGATATTTCAGAGATGTCTTCCTTGTATTCTATGTGATAAATCTTGAAGAAATTAATACAACCCATATTAAATACATTTTTATCGACTGACTAAAAGGACTTGATAAAAAAGATAATTTTATTTCTATATTTCCAACTATAGTCCAGGTCTATTTCAGGAATAGACCTCCATATGTAGTCACCAATCGTTTAATCATTGTACTGTCATTGGTAACTGACGTTTATAATCCAATTATGACGCGAACTTAGATAGTGTGTGGAAAGGGAAAACTATAAATTTAACATTGACGTCAATTGAAACCTGTAACGTCAAAACCGCAAGTTTTTTTTATAATTCTTTGCGCCTGGATACAGTGTTATTCACTAGACCCGAACAGATCTCTACATCTTTAAGCTAAATTGTTAAAATAACAAATATCTTTAGTTTGTTTCGAAGCATAATTAATTCAAGATGACCAGTAATTGGAGATTTTGAGTAGTAGAATGTCTGATGGGTCTGAAGCAGGGATGTGCAAAGTGTAGCCCGCGGGCCAAATGCGGCCCGCAAGGGAAAATTGTGCGGCCGGCGGAGGCAACTGGAAAGCAGTTTAAAAGAAGTTTGGGTTCCAGCCTATCAATTGATTTTGTCTAAATCCAACCTAGAATAGGATTTGACAGCAAA